GAGGGAATGGAACGTGGGAAATGAACAGCAGGAGAGAGGGGCACATGAGCTACAGGGGGTCCGTGTCTATGGGTCGGGTACAAGGTCTCACCAAGGCCGCCTCTGGTTTCTGCTCTCATCTTCGCTGTTATCTCAGGGCCCTGCAAGATTTTGATTCACTCCGGAGTAGAATCAACTCTTCTGCAAAGTCTTTTGAGTAGTTTCGCTTTGCAGAGATGTGGTTGACTTGGCTGGTAGCCAAAGTCAGCTTCCTTTCATTTGGCTTTGACCACTTCTCAAAATTCTACAAGTCTCAGAGAACTGTTAGTTTTGCAAAGTACTGATTAGCTTTTCAGCCTTGTTTTCCTATTTAGCAAGAAAGATTAGAAAGTCACAGGGTGGGAAGAAAGAGTGTAGAGAAAAAAATGTTCTTTTTAAAATCATCTTCCCCACCATCCCAATGCAGCCCAGGTGGTTTTAGGTCCCAAAATGGCTTTAGTCCTGCTCTCTCCAACAATTTCAGTCCCACTCACTGACCTCTGGGAAGGGAATTGGGGGGAAGAAGTGCAGGAGATTAAGATTTATAAAAACTCTTGAACAACAAGATTTGACAAGCTTCTGGGATGGTGAACACGGGGAGGTGCTGGGTGTGTGGTGCACCGGAGAGGATATGGGAAGCTCTGTGGCCTTACCCCCATACCTTGTCCTATGCATCACTTCCACTTGGGTGTTCCTGAGTTGTAGCCTTTAACTGGTAAACATAAGTGTTTTGCTGAGTTCTGAGAGGCCCCCCTCCCCTGCTTGTTTTTGGAGGCTGGCTGGTAATGGATCAGGACACCTTGACCTTCGTGATATCAACTACACACTCTAACCAACTGAGCTAACTAGCCAGCCCCTGAGAGCCCTTATAGCAAACTATCAAACCTGAGGAGAGTGTTGTGAAAACCTCCAATTTAAAACCTGCACCTGAAGTGGGGGTCAGTTTTGTGGGACAGAGCCCTTAACCTGTGGGGTCTACACTAACTCACAGTAGTTAATGTCAGAATTGAATTCAATCGTAGGACACTCGGTGTCTGCAGAAAATTGGAGAATGGTATGGTGTGGAAAACCTACATATTTGGTATCAGAAGTCTTAGGAGCAAAGGAACATTTTTCCTTTTAAGGACAATAATCACATGATGGCAGCCCCACCCTCATGAACTTGTCTAAACTTAACTGCTTCCCATGGGCCCCACCTCCAAATACCATCACGTTGGGGGTTAGGACTTTAACATATTGATTTCGGGGGGCACAAATTTCTAGTCCATAGCATTTATATATTGAGATAATCATGTGATGTATTTTCTTTTCTCTCATTTATGTAAGAAATTGCATCGTTAGATTTTTCTGATGTTAAACTGTTCTTGTATTGTTAGGATTAAATCTACTCGCACATGGTAATTTGTTTTTAAACTTAGCTAATATTTTTCTTGAGATTTTTGCATTTATTTTTATATCTGAAATGGGTCCATACTTTTTCCATTGGCACTTGAAATGTGTATTTATGAATATGAAGGAAAATACTGACTTTCCAAGGTTGATGTTCTTGGTTTTAACTATTGTCTTTATATTGGTGGCTCACAAGTCTGTATTTCTATCCCTGAACTTCCAATCTGCATATCTACCTGTGGCAAACATATCTAAACACCTCAAAAACCACTGAATGTATTATCACCTCCCTCCCCAAATCTGTTACATCTATATTTTTTATTTCTTTTTTTTTTTTTGTCTTTTGTCTTTTTTCGTGTCCGGCAACGGACCGCAACCCTCAGTGTCGCGCCCGCACCGGACCAGACCGGCAACGGGATTGCAACCCTCGGTGCTGCGCCCGCCTCTCGCTCAGCCAGTGAGCGGGAACCGGTCTGTATGTGGGATCCGACCCCTCCGCGGGAGCACCGCAGCACTCCCAAGCGGCGCACTGTAGCAGTGCGCCACCGGGCCGGCCCTATATTTTTTATTTCAAGTAATAGCATTGCTATCCACTAAGTCCTATAAGGCAGAAGCTAGTGATCATGCTAGACTCTTCCATCTTCCTCTCTCCTATAACCCAAAACCTGCCTATTTTTCACCTCCTAATTTAAAAAAAAACCTTTTTCCCTTTCTCATGCTTTCTTGCCTTAGTTTCTTAAATAGTCTCCCTGCTTTTAACACCTCCCACCTAACAAAAAGTCATCCTCTACAGTGCTGCTAGAGTGATTTTACAAACAGAAAATTGGGAAATGTCACTAGGCTGCGTAAAACCTTCCGGCAAGTCTACATCACCCAGAGACTAAAATCTAGTCTCCATAGTCTGGCATACTTGTGTTCTAACCTTATATTTTACCAACCTCTATGCAATACTCTACTTTCCCTATATTCACCATGTGTTTCTTCTTTATAGAAAGCCTTTTACTCTCTTCATCCAATTTGATCCTTGTTCATCCTCATTAATGGCTCTTCCTGTTTTCTTGGCTGATTCCCTGACATCTACCTGACCTCTAAACTAGCGGGAACCCCCTGGAGTTTTTCTTTTCTCTAACCTATCCTCCCAAAGTGACTTAATTCTGCCTCATGGCTTTAAGTACCATATAGATGCTGCTGATTTCAAATTTATACCTCTAGCCCAGACCTTCCACCATACACCAGAATAATATAATATATCCAGTTGCCTCTTCAACATGGTCAACTGGATGTGTGAGGAAAATAGAATAGTTTAGTCAGGCCCCCCTCACCTCAGGTCTGGTTGGGAGTGATGCAGCACATTCTTTGTAAACAAGTTGTATGGAGCTGGACTTAGTGCCATGTACCTTTATCCAGTTGCCTCTTCAACATGGTCAACTGGATGTGTGAGGAAAATAGAATAGTTTAGTCAGGCCCCCCTCACCTCAGGTCTGGTTGGGGGTGATGCAGCACATTCTTTGTAAACAAGTTGTATGGAGCTGGACTTAGTGCCATGTACCTTTTTTTAGTTTGTTGCTATTCTGGTGTGTTTCAGAGTTTGTGAAGCAGTGACTGGCCCACAGAGAGCTTGTGTTTAAAAATAGAGCATGTTTACTTTGCTGGCAGCTGCTCAGTTATTCTTTGGACTTTGCTGGTAGCAGCTCAGTGTCTGAGTTTCTCTTTGGACTGCCTAGCTCTTAGCCATGTGTGTGCTGAATAAAGACTACTCTTTCTTCAACTAAGGCTCCAAGGACCTTTTATTTCTGGTTACCTAGCTTGTAGAACTGCATGTGAAGGGTCTGTGACCCAGTCAGGAAAATGGGCTTGAGGGGTCTGTGATGTATAATAGACATCTCATATTCCAAACCTGGTCCCCACAGTGTTCCCATCTCCAAAAATGGCAGCTCTGTTCTTCTAGTTACTCAGTTAAATAACCATGGATTCACCCGACTTCTCTCTTTCTCTCATACCTCCATCCATATCATTAGTGCCTTCTGTTGGCTCAGCTTTGAAAATATACTCAGAATCTGAATAACTTCTTACCATCTCCTTCAGCACCACCCTGGCCCAAGCCACCATCACCTCTTGCCAAGATTATTGCAATGGCCCTAACTTGTCTCTCTGCTCATGCTATATCCTTGCTCCCCTACGTCAGCCAGAATAATTCTCTTACAGCATTTTTTTGTTTTGTTTTGTGGCACAGGCCAGTAAAGGGATCTGAACCCTTGATCTTGGTGTTGTAAGCACCATGCCCTACCGACTGAGCTAACCCGCCAGCCCTGAATAACTCTTCTAAACATAAGTCAGATCAAGTCACTTGTCTGCTCAAAACCTTCCAAGGGTTCCCCCTCACTCACGCTGAACTGAGGTCCTCACGATGACCTGCGGGGACCCCACCCTGGCGCTGTCTCCCGCCACCTCTCCTCCCTGTCCTCTGCGCGCTCTCTCCTCACGCGCCGCCCGCACCCCTTCCCTGCTCATCCGCACACCAAGAAGCTCATTTAAATGTCGGTTCTGTCCTGTTATCCTGATCAAAATGAAGCAGCTTTTCCAGAGCTCACCGCCTTGGGAGGAGCCTCATGGCTGCAGAAGACACCTTCTCTGGGAAATGAACCGTGAACCGCACAAGGACCGGCTGCTTTGCTGCCCCAAGTGTGAAGAGCTGCAGCCGCAAGTTTCTGCCTCCAGCTGCACAGCTGTGCTCTCAGCCCTCAGGAGGGAATTTGTAACCAAGACAGAGTAAGGCAGGCCTGTGAACCAAACTGACTCCATTTTCCCTGCAGAGGACACTTTGTTCCTTTCCCACTCCTCAGTCATGAGACCTCCAGGGCACGTGATTACCCCATGGCCACCCTGATAAAATAAACTGAAATAAGAGGGGAATAAATATTCACTGAGTTGCAAGCAGATTGTAAATTTCTCAGATATAGGTCATCATATTACCAACGTTCCATTGATCATTATCTAGGTCAAATATTTTTCCCTTTCTTGTGGTCTTTTCATCACTTTGGCCCCTACCACAAAAGGCAGGGGAATTAAAAATAAAATATCTTTTGACATTGGTGGGCAGATGCGCTAAAAAGTTTTGTATGGCATGGTTCCCCTCCACCCCAGCTCCCGCCAGTGGCTGGCCAATAAGGAGATCTGAACCCTCGACCTTCGCATATTTCATTCTAGACTCCTGCAGCACCTTAGCACAGAGCTCCACTGCAGTGTGGACTGCACTGTATTCCTACAGAAAGTTTGACAGTAAATATTTCACACTCAAAATCGGACTCCTGTTTGCCTCCTCTAGAGACAGGATTCCAAACAAACACTGGGAAAACAGATACAATCTCTTAGGTGAAGAATCCAGGTCTTCCCGTAATAACCGCATTCGGGTGTAGCTCCCAGGCGCCCACTTCCAGCCTGTCTCGTGCAGGTGCTGCCCCCTACCCACCCACCCGGTTCCCCTCTGCACAAGCCGCGGGAGCCCCGCCCCGGTCCCGCCCCGGCCCCGCCCCGGCTCGTGACGTCACCACGCGCGCCCGGCGCCGCGCCTCCTGTCAAAGGCAGCCATTGTGTGCCGGTCGCGCCGGCCTGGCTGGGGCTGGGCTGCTCCCGCCCCCTCTCCAAATCCTGGTGGCTCCTTCAAGCTAGCAGAGGGTCCGGTCTCGGGTTCCGAACAGTCTGGGGTCGTCGGGTGCAGGCCACCATGAGCAAACGGAAGGCGCCGCAGGAGACTCTCAACGGGGGAATCACCGACATGCTCACGGGTGAGCACCGGGCCGCGCCCCGCCGGCTTTCTTCTCCTTTCCTCCCACCCCTTGCCTGCCCTTCTTCCTCTCCCGCCCCACAGCCCAGTGGGTGGGATCGTCTCCCTTGGGGACGTTCCTCTGGGCCCGTGGCCGATGGTCATCCTGCCGGGGACTCGTGGGGTCACCGCTCGGGCTCCCTTTGGTATGGCCCGTGGAGGCTGCCACCTCCTCTTCCAGGAAACTCACTTCTTGTTTGTCTGCTCGTGGCTCTTGCTCACCGAGTCTCTCGTTGCCTTTTCAGAACTCGCGAACTTTGAGAAGAACGTGAGCCAGGCTATCCACAAGTACAATGCTTACAGGTGAGACAGCTCAGCACTTTCTGGAAGCATGTGCGTTCTGGGACGCCCCTAATTAGTGTGGCAGTTAGCAAAGCTGAGGGTCCAGTGGATACTTGGGCCATCTACAGCAGAGCAAAAAAGCATGAACTGAGGGTGGTACCTTGTTCAATATTTCTGGAAGAATTTGAGCAGAGCTCTCTGTAGGATCAATCAGATAATTCTGGTTGAAAACAGATGTAGCCTGATACGTGTTTTTCCCATCACTAAATGTGAACTACTGAAATGCATTGTGATTTTAAGCCATAATGAAAGACAGCAGATGACATACTGTGAAATAGATGTGGTTGAAGGAATGACATCTTTCCATCTGGTCGATCTGTGTCTGATCCTGTCGCCTTTGTGGGATCTTACCTTGTCCATCTCACCAGGGGCCTGAGCCATTACACATCCACCTGTTTCTGCTCCTTAGCCTGTAAACCTGTCCAAGTCCCTCAGCTCTTAAAAACAAAAACAAAATAATCTTATCTTCCCTCTAGCTAGCACCTTATGTCTTTCCTCACGTTACAGTTAGTCTTCTTGAATAGTCTGTGTTCCTTGCCTGGACTTCCTTGTCCCTAGTCATTCCTTATCTTGTTGCAATGTAATTCCCATCCTACCGTTTCTCTGAAAATGCTGTCGCCTACAGCTCATCTTATTGGACTCTTGGTGACATTCACCACTAGCTTATTCCATGAAAGATTTTCCCTTGACTTCGGTGATGGCACTCCCTTATGTTCTTTCATCTCTTCTTCTAACCTTTTAAAGATGAGAGTTCCCAGAAGTCTGCCTTTAGCCCTCTTTTCTCACTTTCATACTTTCCCTGGCAATCTTACCACTTACATCAGTGACTTCAAATCTGTGTCTCACTGGGATTTTCTCCAAATTTTTACCCCTGTATTCCCTTGATTTCAACTCAGGTCCCTTCCCACTCAACATAACTCTAAACTGATTATGCTCCCTCCTTTCCTTAATTCCTATATAAAGTAATTGTGCTATCATCTATACATTTGATAATCTAGAAATCATAGAGATATTCAACCCTATATTCTATTTGGGTCACAGCAGTCTTCAGAGATGAAGTGTTTAGTCTTGAAGAAGTTCATCGATGACAAGTGAGAGGAAGGGCAATCTAGACAAAGGCATCGAGACATGAAGGGTATAACATTTTCTAGAAGTCAGTAATTATGTTTGATGAAGGCATATGGTCTGAGTGGGAAATAAGTCTGGAATGCTCCTGCCTACCCCACATACATTTCTCTTTTATTTATTTATTTTTGTTTATCTTTAATTGTACATGTTTATGGGGCACAGTGTGTTGTTTCAATACATGCACATATTGTATAATGATCCCCTTTGGGTAGTTAGCATATCCATTGTGGAGTATACTTACATTTATAAAGCAAATATATTTCACAGGGCCTAGTTTCTTGTAGTTTCAGGTTTAGCCCAACTTCTTGAAAGTACATGTAAAACATTAACCTTATAAAAGACAGGAAATTTTTCCCCAGGCTAGTCTCTGTTGTAAGATAAAGAATTGTAGCACAGCAAGGTTGCTGGCTAAAGGACAGACAGGTTACTGATTGATATGTAAAGATACTGGGAAATTGCTGTAAGGAGAGAGAATGTTTGCTAAGATCAAGCTTTTGTTGGTGGATTGACTTAACTTCTTGCAAATTGCATTATGGAATATCACCTTGCTTGTTTTACTGAATGTTACCAGCCTATATTGTTAAACTATAACCCCACCTATGTTCTCTTCCTGTAACTTCCTGGTGTGGAGAATAAATGCAGGAAGAGAACCCCAATTCGTGGTTAATTTCCCAAATGGGAGGAATGCCTCTCTCTTGAGAGTTCCAGGAGATTAACCACTTCGAGGCTTCTCACTGCTCAGAAGAGATGGGCTTTGAGTAATCCTTTGCGGCTCTGTCACCCAGGGGAAGAGAGGTGACAAATCTGTGGGAGGCAAAGCAACAGTCCATCACCTAAACATTTATCATTTCTTTGGGGCGATAATGTTCAACATCTTTCCTAGCTATTTTGAACCCTGTTCTTAGCTGTAGTCACACTAGAACACCGGAACTTATTCTTCCTATCTAACTCTAACTTTATACCTGTTGACCAACCTCTTTTGCTTTCCTCCTCCCTCCTCCCCATTCTCTGGTAACCACCATTCTATTCTCTATTTCTATGAGAATCATTTTTTTTTAGGTTCCATGAGTGAGATCATGTGGTATTTATCTTTCTCTGCCTGGCATATTTCACTTAACATAATGGTCTCCAGTTCCATCCATGTTGCTGCAAATGACAGTATTTTTTTCTTTGGTATAGCTGAATAATATTCCATTCTGGACACATACCACTTTTTTTTTTATCCATCTGTTTGTTGAGTTAGGTTCATTCCATCTCTTGGCTATTGTGAATAGTGCTGTAGTGATCATGGAGGTGCAGGTGTCTCTTCAATATTCTGATTTCATTTCCTTTGCGTACATACCCAGTAGCAGGATTGCTGGGTCATAAGGTAGTTCTATTTTTAGTTTTTTTTGTTTTTGGTGGCTGCCCGGTACTAGGATCCGAACCCTTGACCTTGGTGTTATGACACCGCTCTCACCGAGTGAGCTAACATGGCCAGCCCTCTATTTTTAGTCTTTTGAGTAACCTTCATACTGTTTTCCAAAATGGCTGTACTAATTTACATTCCCACCAACAGTATATGAGAGTTCCCTTTTCTCCACATCCTCACCAGCATTTGTTGCTTTCTCTCTTTGATAATAGCCATTCTAATTAGAATGATTAGTTATTTCATTGTGACTTTAATTTGTCTTTCCCTGATGATTCCCTGTGATGTTGAGTATTTTTTCATATATCTGTACATTTCTCCTGTTAGTGGTCTTCAAAAAGTTCCTGGAAAATGTGTTATGAAAAAATTATACATGGATTTCTTTTTTTTTTTTTTTGCATCAAAATAAACTCATACTAACTTGTTATAACATGTCTAAACAGGATCTAGTTTGAGGCATTAAGAAGGATAAGACATCAGTTTGTAAAGAGCCCCTATCAGAGCAACATGAATCCTGCTAAAATTGAATTTAGATAAACAAACATCAAATTTACAGTGAAATTTGGATGGAAAATGGAGAAATCATTGATGCTTTACGAAAAGTTTATGGGGACAATGCCCCAAAGAAATCAGCAGTTAACAAATGGAGAGCATGTTTTTTTTTGTTTGTTTTGTTTTGTTTTCCTTTTTGTCTTTTTTCGTGACCGGTAACAGGATCGCAACCCTCGGTGTCACACCCGCACCGCGCTCAACCAGTGAGCGGACATGTCTCTATATGGGATCCGAACCCTCGGCGGGAGCGCCACCGCGCTCCCTAGTGGCACACTCTCCAGTGCGCCACCGGGCCGGCCCAGGAGAGCATGTTTTAAGAAGGGACGAGATGATGTTGAAGATGAAGGCCATCCACATCCACATCAGCCCACCGGATGGGCCACAGCAGCATCTGACCATCCACATCAACTTGCCAGGAAAAAGTTAATCATGTTCTCGCCCTAACTGAAGAGGACT